GCCGTGCCGGGGAAAAAAATTTATTAGGAGGAAGTGAGAGCTCGCTCGATGCGATTTAAACGAGGGTGAGAGAGAAAATTTATTCATTCGGTTGGCACACGTGGCCTTTTTCTCCTCCCGTACAGCCGTGGCTATCTGGCAAAGGTCATCGCGCGTCCCAGCGTGTATGGAACCAAGCCCAGAGATACGGCTGCGAAATAATAGCTCCTTGTTAACGACCGATCCGATATTGGAACGAGCCTGTATGTACAACGGACGATATACGTCTCGTTACGGTGTTGTTGTACCTTTTCCGCTGATTTTGCAACCAACAACATGCAACTCTGACATCTGCAGGTCCCTCAATTTTTTTGACGGCAATATACCTCATATTTATCGTTCGAGCAGTTTTGCTCCGGTTGTGGATGATTTTTTTTTCTTCTTTTTTATTATATATTTAGAGTTTTTATCGTCGCTCTCTCATGTAATATTTCAATCAAACTTTATGTTACGTACACGACATGGCCCATTAAGTGAAAATAATGGAGTATATTTGTATGGTACACTATACGCGGTAGGACGCACACACAGAGATAGCGGGTGTTTTGTTCCATTTTCATTTGGATCTCCTGTAATTAGCAATGATTACAGATATCGGCATCTCGACGATGGGAATAACAAACGATGGCTGGTAATTGCACACGCGAGCGAGAACCTATACATGTATATATATATATACACACACACACTGTGAAATGAACGTGGAAAATATATATACGTATGTAGGTGTACGGATCGGGAAAAGGGGAACAAACTTTTGCGAGCGATATCGATGTCGAGCCGCGTGCCAAGAAATCTCCCGGGCTGCAACGACCACCCCTTTCTCCGCTCGTCGATACCGTATACCATAGCCCGCGTGTTAATTAACCCGCCGCGCGGTAGCACTCCCCCGCGGCTTATTAATTAACCTCCCCCCCTCCCCTACTCGTCCCGTTTTCCTTTTTATACTTGTCGGGCACTTTTTTCTTTTTTTTTTTGCTCCCTCGCTCGGTATAATAGTAAGTACAGGTCCGAGAGCGATGTCTCGTAAGTTGGCCAAACTTCGCGGTGGCTTCTTGTTTTCGTCCCCCTTCCCCCTCCCGTTCCACGCTGGAGGGAAAAAGAAATTATATCGACAACTTTCCGCTTCTCCCTCGGGACCATATTATCAGCGAAAATTAATAAGCGGCCGCTCTGATACTCGATTACGGCGCCGGGACGGGCGCTTGAGCATCAAAGAAAACGCAGCTCGGACAAATTTTTTTTTTTTTTTTTTTTTTCTGCTTTTCCTCCACAAAGTTTTGTCGTACGGCGAGAGCGTCGCTCATTTTTTTTTTCCTCTCCGGCATTTTGAAAATTAAATTTAATTAGCGGAAATACGGATGGTGTGTCCCGCGCGGGGAAAACGCTCGGCTACTCTGGAAAATATAGGACAGGTACACCGCATCGAGTGGCGGAAGAAGAAGAAGAAAAGCAGAACCGATGTTCTTTATTATGTATGTACAGAGTGAAACTCAATTAATCATTTTCACGTATATGCACATAGTCGATTTTCCATAAAAAATCCTCGAGTGTATAAATATATACAATACGGTGGTATACACGGCCCCAAAAGGAAGAATTGAAACGTCATTCTGTCCTGCGATTATACCCATCATACGTATAATATAAACACTATAGAGGGGGAACGAAGATTGGTATAATATAGGGGACGGCCAAATGCGCCTAACAGATAAATTAGCAATTTAATTATAGAACTGTCAGCCGATAATTAAATTAATAACAAGAGAGGGAGAGAATGAGAGAGCGCGACTTGCCCGTCCATCGACAGTTTGCCGCTGTTGTTTTTCCCTCTTCGACTCTCTCCTCCTCCTCTATGTACATTATGTAGGTATATACTCTCCCAGCGTATTGTATACAGAGCAGGCCCGATCCTCTTCACCCCCCCCCCTCTCCCACATGTGTGTTATAGGTGTATATGTGTTTCCATCCTCTTTCTCTCTCATTTCGCGTGTGCAGCAGCAGACACCGTGGTGGTGGTGGTGCTCGTCGATTGCGATCCGGCATTATATTGCAGTAGCGCAGTAGCACTTTACCAAACGAGCGCGCGAGACAATGACTTACAAACGAGAGCTCCCCCCCGGGACTCCCGGGAGAGAAGTGCACACACATACACATTGATGCACCCTGCAAAGGAGGTAAATAGCGGCTGTTTGGTTATCATTTTCCATCGATTGGCCCGAGATTGCTCGATACATCTGTCAATTAGGCGAGATCTTGGCTGCCGATAAACCGATGCACGCGTCCCATTACCTTTCCCCCCCCCCCTTTTTTTTTTTTTTTGCCCAGAAATAAAAGAGAGGCAAACAACAACCACGCGGAGGGGGCATCAAAAGTTGAGGATCGGGTAAAGCGCGCCTGCTTACTTACCCCGAGGAATTCTCGAAATATAAGCGCAGAAAAAAGAGAAAAACACAATCTCCTCCTCGTCGCTGCTTGTACTTATCTCTCTTTCTCTCTGGGAGCAAACGAGCTCGAGCACCTTTGCCTTTTTATTCATCCTCGAGAACTGCAGTTCTTGTAGGTACACGGTAAAAATCAGCCCCCGTATCATTAAACACGAGTATTAACAAGCCCCGCCCTTGAACGCCTATACAATCAATAATTACTCGCGTGGAGCAATTGAATATCGCGAGTCGATTACGCATAAGGCAATTCACATATCATGCACCTATATACGCGCGTTACGTGGCTTGATTCGGGAATCGACGGCGAACGCGGGTATAATATACGCGACGCACGTGCGCGCTAGTATATGCGTTGGAAGTCGCGATTACGCGTGGAGTTGAGGGTCCCATACACGCTGTATTATGATGCCGGGTGCAAACAGTAGACAGGACGATGGCTATATACACACTCGATCGCAAGAGAGTGCGGGATGAGGTATACATAGAGCACACGTACATTGCGTATATATACGGGGCTAATTGGTGCATAAACATCGAACTCGGTACCAGGTACATGTGTATGTGTGTGGATGTGTGGGCAATGTGCGTGTATATATACCGAACCAAGGTAACCCGGCAAACGGTCGAATGGGGAGGGACAGCCAGGGCTGCCACTTGGCAAACATTGACTGCCATTAGCGTGAATATGCATGGCCGGGCCGTGGTGCAGTTGCACCGGGCTCCCGCTCGGCAATCACGCGCTCGAGATCTTTGCGTCCGTACCGTATACATATACTTGCTTATAGTATATGCCCGAAAAATCGGTCCTTATATTCTTGCTTGCAGATTTTCCTTGTTTACGCGACGTATGGGCCCGTGTCCCCGGAAGGACCAAAAGAGCTACACGGTTATCGTATACTCCATTAAAATTAACGACTCCCTCGCAACACGGGTATCAGTAGAACTACAAAGGTATATACTTAGCTCGGAGAAAAAAATTTTGCTAACGATCCGTGGGTGATTTTTGTACACACGTACACGGTCATGTCCGCGGGGTGTGAAAAAAGAGGAGGATGTATCACATTTTTCTCCACGCCAAGCACAAGGCATCGAAGAGGTGGGGGGGGGGGTTGCTTGAATTTAGCCATTAAAGCTTGTAATAGCCATTAACACTGATAGGGGCTTCGGGGCGGGCGTCGATTTTTTCGGCGTACTTTCGCCGGGACGAGAAAAAAAAAAAAAAATCCTCCGCGCAAGGCTAAGGGAAGAGGAGAAGGAGGTGTTTTGCAAAAACGGCGAAACAATAGAACGAGATCCCGCGCTTTTTAAGGCGTCATCTCGTGCAAGCGTGCGCTCCTGCCTCCTCCTCCCCCTCGAAAAGCAGAGGAGGCGTAATTATTTTCTTAGGCCCGTTAGTTCGCATGGGACGAGTGCGAGAACGTGTATGTGTGTGGGAAGGGGTGTATATGTACACGTGGAGGCTGCGAACGGGAGAGTTAAAAGAGAGCGAGAGCGGATTTATCTGGCCGAGCTGCCAATTAAAAGGCGCACTTACAACACCTTATTATATCGATGTGCTCGTTTAGCCTCGGTCGCGGCGGCGGCATCAGCTGCAGGAGGAGACGGGAGAAAGGCTCTACGGGAGAGAGGAAGGTGCTCGAGGGGGCGCGCGCGAAATCGTGAGCCGAGATACCGCGAGCGAGCCTGTGCTTAAAGCTCATTTACTTACACGTATAGGAGAGACCAGAGAACCTATGTAGGCTGTATTGGTAGTACCTTGGTACATGTTGGTTTGGTGGGGTGATGCTTGCGTGTGTTGCTGCAACATACCCATACTATCTCTCTCTCTCTCTCTCTTCAGACGCCTGACGCGAGATTTAATTGGAAACACTTCGTATTTATATCTACACGAGCACAGGCTAGGGCTATCCTCCCTCTCCCCTATAGTGTTCCTCTTCTTTCTTCTCTTTTCTCTCCTTTTCTTCCATACGGGTATTTTTACTTGCCCATCTCCCTTTCTTGTAGCTGTAGGTCTTTAATTCCCGACGACTACTACCTTCTTCTACTTCTGTATCGGCTACGTGTACCCCGTGACCCATGTACCTACTCCCGCGAGACCGTGGGCTGTTCTCTCTTCTCTCCACCTTTTTACACATTTTATTCGGTTACCTTTTATTTCCAAGTATGTAAGTATACACGATTGCCTTGCGAAAACAAGCTAATTTCATTTTCATGGCCCATCAGCGTACCAGAAAATTGGTACATTGTTGATTTTTATGTATTAACCAAACAATTAAAATTAACGATAAGTATACTTAGTTAGGTATGCATTGTTGTACCATTCGATTGAGACGGCCAGTGGTCGGAGCAGCATATAACGCAGTTGTAAATTGGACATATGGCTTTTTTTAACATCTCGACGATTATTTTTCATTATTGCTTTAACTGTTGAAAAATAACCCCCACCTATACAAAAAAAAAAAAAAAAAAAAAAAACAAACAAAAAATAATGATTTGTACCTTTGTTTGTTTCAGGATGTTCGGTAACACAGCTGCCTGCGCAACCTGCGGCCAACAGATAGCCTCGACCGAGCTCGTCCTGAGGTCGGGTGGCTCTGTCTTCCACACCAAGTGTTTTACCTGTACCAAGTGCGGCACGCAACTCAGGCAGGGCGACAGGTGAGTCACGCGTCCAATGACATCACGCACCGTGCCGCTCTCGTGCACGATGCTTGCGATCGATCATCAGTGTCTGCCCTTTTTTTCCGCCCTACCCCCTCCGCCCTTATTATACGTGTCCACCTCTTCTCTCCGTCGAGGATAACAGATGTCCAAGTTTGCCCCGCCGGCAATCTTACATGTGTAAGTGCGTACGCGCACACACGTTTGATGAAACGACGGAAGCTCCGATACGTGACCGCGACTGTTTTGAATCTCTCTTTATTTTGATCAGGCGAAAAATTCGGTTCACACAATATGTTGGTGAATGTACAGTCTGAAAAATAATAAAACTTGGTCGTATTGATTTTTATTTTCCACAACATATTGTGATTATTCAGCAGCATATTTTTATGGAGTTCAAGTCGAGTAGTATTATGTTAACCTTTGAATTAATTTAAACAAATAACCCAAGATCTCACCATTTTGAGTCACTTGACTGCCAATAGAGCACAATACAGCTTGAAAACTATTCAAACCTTCCAGCTAACACTAACGCAGTCGCTCATAATTTATTGTACCTGTACATACGTGCACAACCCCCCTCCTACAAATGAAAAAAAAAAAAAAAAAAAAAAACACCTGCAGCGTTGCTAATGATGGCGTTTTCCCCCCCGCCCCTTTTTTTTGATTGCAGGTACTATCTGCTGTCGGGCTCGGTAGTGTGCGAGGCGGACTTCAACAAAATAATGAAGTCGACGTCGGTGGCGGCCGCGGCGGCGGCGACGGGCAACGGCGGCATGCCCACGCGAAAGGGCAAGGTAGGCAGGCCTCGCAGGAGCCGCGAATGAGGCGGCAACCCGGTTGGCCGCCCGAAGAAGGTCCAACCCACAGTCGTGTCCACGACGCCCGTGGTCGTCGCCGCGGCCCTCCAGCCGCAGGTCGACCTCGTGGACGTGGCCGTCGGGGAGGAAGCCTATTCACCGCCGCCGCCGGGTCTACAGCAGCACTACAGCCAACAATCCCAACAGCTCTCGCCCCATCACCAGCAGCAACAGCAGCAGCAGCAGCACTACCAACAGCACCAGCATCACCAGCACCATCAGTCCCCTATGCCCATGATGCCCATGGCCATGGGATCCGGGCAGCAACAGCAGTCGCCTCATCACTCGCAGCAGCATCGACACGAGCACCAGGACTGGGCCTGGCCGTCCGAGCCGTGCGACTGAGCCCCGGAGATGCAGGACGACGTTGCTTACAATACTACCACGACTACCACGGGCCCGAGCTACATGGCCCTCTAGCCGTTACCAGTGATGACCGCGGTGACGTGCTGCTCCTGAAATGTTGTTTTATAGCTTCGTTAACGAGAGACTGTACATTTGTCACGTGTAACTACATACGATGACACAATTTGTGACTATAATACACGATGCGTATAGATACATGTATACATACATACAATTAAATACACATAACGCGAGTGTGTGCTTATTGCGTGTGCGCGACGTGTTGGTGCAAACGTGTTTGTGATCCATACGGACTATTATATATATATATACAATAGACGCGTATTTACGATCAAACGCAGCGCAGGTGATTCTTCCCTTTTCCTTCCCGCAGTGTACACGAGTGATACACCTGATGTAATTTTTGATGCAATAAACGCATTTATTGTTGCATAAGTTCGAGAAAAGTTGGAGCCGATGCAGTGGAAGAAAATCTCTGGGAGGCGACAACGTTGATGTGAATCACGGGCTGAACGAGTATAGACGACTGATTAGCGAGAGCCGCGGGATGATATAATTGTACGGACAATCCGACGGAATTCAGCGACTAGTAATTGCAGCCTTTGATCTCTGGCAAGAGACAGAGAGAGAAGGGGATGGGGGGGGAGCGGATTTCTTCATTAATGCGGCTCGAAAAACAATTGCAACCAAGTAAAGCCCCCCCTCGCCTTCGGCTTTGCCCCCCCCCTCCCCGCCTATTCTTTCGCTCTTTCCGCAAATGGACTTTTAGAAAATTATTTTTCTTTCATTGCAAAATCATCAGTGGGAAGAAGAAGCGAAGGGGGGAGGCGCTTAAGTTCGTTAGCCGTTTCTTGTTTCGCGCGCGCGAGCTAACGAAATGAAAAAAGGGGTTGGGGGGCGCGCCATTAACGCTCTCTTTCGGCTTCCTCTATTTTTCAACGCCGGCAGGGGTTATAGGACAGAAAAAACGTCCCCGAGCTTTTCTGCCCGGATTCCTTTTTCTCGTCGTCGTCGTCGTCGTTACTCATTCATTTTCATTTCGAACTTTTAAACGAAGAAATTGTCGTCCCACCACCGCCTCCTACTCGTCGTCGTCTTCCTTTTTTTTTTCCTCTTGTCCTCTTACCACGCAGCAGCCAATATCCGACTTTACAGTTTTTTTTTGTTTTCCACTCCATCGAACTCTCCTTCTTTTTCTTCCTGATCCTCCTCTGCCTCGCAGGCGCGCGCGATTTCTCGGCGCGAGTCGTATAAGCAATAAGGGAAAAAGGAAACAAGGCGATCGACCAGCAGCACCGTGGCGGTCAGCTCGAACACGACTCGGGCTGGTCGTTTTGTTGGTTTACTCATTAATGAACGAAAATATTTTTTTTTTTTTTTTTTTTTTTTTTGGTACTTACAGGCACACAGAGATGGGCCAGCGATATCCAAGTCTTGCATTGTACATACGTGTATATTATAATTATTACCTTGGATGATGTGTATACTTGGCGGGGTGTATAGCGCCCGCGGTCATGTCGTTTGTTGTAATATATTGATGGTGTGTCGGAAACTTTGCCGAATTTTCCACGGGTCGTCCGCTGAAACTACAGCGATGCGTTTCTATACCTTCTCATCGATGTCTCGTTGAAGAAAAACTCGTGTATTTTTCATATTGTAGCCTACATACGATGAAAAGGAAAAAAAAAAAAAAAAAAAAAAGATATTTTTCAATGGCTCCATACTCAAGCACACGTATCGAGCGAGCTGCATACTATATAGACTCTCTGATGTTCTTCTTCTCGACGAATGTATACATGTATATATAAGCTATTATCCATATTGTACCTAAAAATTATCTTTGATTTAACGAAAAAACACCGCGTGAAAAAATCGGTAAAGTTTCCAAACTCAAGTATAAACAGCCTGTGAGAATCAAAACGCTCAGAAAAAAATTGACGTGGGGCGTGTATAGTCGTTTCAAGTGACAATCCTCTTGAATCCTACAGAAAAAAAGAGAATATTCGCAGTGAATGTAAAATAAATGTATAATCTTTCAAAAAAAAAAAAAAAAAAAGAAAATAATAATAATAAATAAATAAAAATGAAAAGAATCGTGTAAAAATCTTCTAATGTATACAGGACGTTTGTGGCCAATTACCGTTACTCACACTTATATACACGGCTGTCGGTAGGTATTTTTTCAAAAGCAATAAGCGAAAAAAGTAGTGAGGGGGAAAAAAAATGTGTAATCGACGAGCTTCGGCTGTTTACAGTTAAATATTTACCGATGAACAATCGTACATTCCGATTGGCGAAAAAATATGCTGTACCTTGTTACCTATCTCGTGTGAATGGCGAGCAGGAATGAAAAAAAAGAAAAAAAAAATGAAATACTTGTCAATTCAATTTAATATCCCCCGTAATCTAAAAGTTAATAATGATGGACGCTAGCGTACGTATACACTGTAATGTCATTGTAATATCGTTTTGATGAAAATTCGCGACAACAATGACAGAAAAGCCAATCAAATGAGAAAAACGTAAGCTTTTTTGTGGGAAAAAAAATATAAATATATAACAAATTAAGATAGCATAAAAAAACTGGTTGTTACTTGTTTGCTCGTTCCAATAGTAGCCAACTTTCGTCCCAAGAAAATAAACAAAAAGATAAACGTTTTGCATGTTTAAACAAAGTTGAATGCACGTGAAAGGTTGTGGGAGGGTATGCGTGAAGGAGAGACAAGCGTTGCAGTTGAGAAGGAGGAGGAGTCAAGTGTCTTACCGAAGTCTACAAGTGCGAAATTCCTAGCGAGCCTGCCCCGCTATACATACCGATGTTGGCCAAGAACTTAGTCGACGACGCGTATCGATGGCTTTTCTCTCTTTTTTTTTTTTTTTTTTTTTTTTTTTTTTTTTTTTTTCCCCCCCCCCATTAAAAAAAAAAAAAAAAAAAAAAAAAAAAAAAAAAAAAATTTTCTTCTGTTCTAAAAAAAAAACCGTACCGACGAGCTTCCGTCTTCTTTTGGCGACGCACACCGTCTACGGAATAACAATCACGGCGCATATTAACAACGGGCAAAAAAGAAGCGTAAGTGCGAAAAATGAGCGCGGCCGCTTCATTTCTTGTCTCTTTTTTTCCATTTTCGGAACTGGTTTTTTTCATGGCCAGCATGGACGATGAGAAGAGTAGGAGCAGGGGGTTATGGGGAGGGGGGGGGGGGCAAGTCGAAAAGACACTATCGTCGAAGGTGATCCTCTGCGTTTAGTTAAATTTTGTTATTTGGTTTACCTCGGATTCTAAGGCTTACGAGGGGGTCGCTCCATCCGGCCGAGGGCAGGTGATTGTGTCCTCGCTCGCGGGGGGCCCCGTCGGGCTCTTGTAAAATAATTATATAATACAGCGCGATGCGCGACGCTAAACACAAAACACGTTTATTAATTAATAAAGATACAAGTTTTTAGAAAGTTCTCATGATTCTTCATTTTATCCACGTTGTCTTATCCTTGTGCGAATTAATTTTCCTCTTTTTTTTCCCCACAGCCAATTAAATCAACCAACAATTATTATTTTTATAAAAGAAAAAAAAAAAAGTACAAGTTTGATTTTATTAGAGTTGTAGTGGATAAACAAGTTGCCACTTACTCCGAGGCTGCGGAGAATAAAATTTAGTTCGACCAACAAGATTAGAGAGGATGATTCAACATATTTACATACGTACGTGGCATTGAAAAAACCAATTTGAAATTCAATGTGAAGGAGAAGCGACGAGTGCCGAGTCGAGTAATAATTACCTATACTCGCACGTACTGTATACAGGGAAAAAAAAAGAGGCCATCCAAATCTTTGGATCATAACGAAGCAGCAGTTTAGCTCCGGGAGAGCAGTCTCGAATGAAACTACCTAAACAAAAAAAACAAAAAAAATATCCATAGGTAACGGAGATCACCAACCAGAGGTGCAGGTGGTGATTGGCGCGCATATACTTGTGCCTACACTCTGTTTTTTACTGGATGTCCAACATTGGACTTTTTTCACCCTTTCCCTGTTCTCTTTCGAGGTAAGTCGATTTTCTCTACTATTGTTGTCACCTTAGCACTGGGGAAAAGGATTTAGTCACTGTCGAATGATTCATCGAGGTGCGATGCGTCCGCAATGTTTCTCCTCGCCCATGGAGTTACAGCGAAGAAGAAAAACGTGCAACCCCGGGACTAGGCTGTAAGTGTGTATATATAATACCGAGAAAAAGCTCGAGTCCATTCGGAAATAGAAAAAAGAGCATCACGCACACACGCCCCAATATTCAAAGTTATTCTTGGAGGAATGCGTGAAACGCGGGGCACGGAGTGTATATTTATACGCGTACGGAAGACGCCGGGGGTTTTTGCGCTATGCTCACACGCACATACACATGTGGAGCTACAACAGCAGCGGCATCGGTTAATTGACGGGGCAAAAGTCCGGTCCACGGGGCCCTAATTGTCAGGCGTATAAATCGCTGAATGATGCCTCTCGTCCGACTCGCACATTTGGCAGCCTCCTCTGCGGCAACACGTGCGTATATATAGGTGCCTCAATCCGCAAATCCTCTCAATCAGCGCCGTGACCGTAAGTACCCCTATACATACACACACGTATAGGTATACATGTGCTTCGGTTAGCCCCGTTGGGCTCATTCTCTTTTCGAAAACCAAGGGGACTTTAGCGCTCGTCTTCCATTAAACGCGCGAGAGAGGAAACTTTGGAGCAAAGCTATAACCAAACCGCTACAGGGATCAAGATATTTCGAGTCACTACTGCTTGCGTCGTTAAAATTGATGCCTTTTTGCTCCCAAAGTTGCCGTTGCGAATCTAATTAAAAGTGAAGCTCGCGCTAAGCATATATATATACATTTCGGGGTCTCTCTCTCTTTTTATTTACTCCTCCGTCCGCGGTGTGTGGCGTTTTAAATCGTGTTTCTGTTATTTTCGTTTTTGGGTTAATTGACTCCTGCCCACCCTCATATTACGGAGGAAAGATAATACGTATGAAACATACATCCCTTTGTGTGTACGTGCATGCTAATGGGAATGCTTTTCAGGGAAATATAATGGTACATGTAAGTACCGGTATCGAGAAGACGTATGTATTATAATATACATATAAAACGAGAGAGACACTGGATTTTCTAATTAATGCAGCATCTAGTCGCGTATATACGAGAGAGCAAACAACGTATATATCGGCGCAACAAGCAAACGGATAAATAAGCGACGGCGCGCGCAATTAGGCACATTCCTTTGAACAACTCGGGAGGAAGAAAATCGGTGATGAACTCACGCACCACGGAGCTAANAACGCGTCGACTGCCTTCGGACGTGCTACGTATGTATCTACTTGTGCTGTAGAACTCTGAAAAAACCAGTCTCCGAAAACGCAAAAAAAAAAAAAAAAAAAATTTTCTTCTGTTCTAAAAAAAAAACCGTACCGACGAGCTTCCGTCTTCTTTTGGCGACGCACACCGTCTACGGAATAACAATCACGGCGCATATTAACAACGGGCAAAAAAGAAGCGTAAGTGCGAAAAATGAGCGCGGCCGCTTCATTTCTTGTCTCTTTTTTTCCATTTTCGGAACTGGTTTTTTTCATGGCCAGCATGGACGATGAGAAGAGTAGGAGCAGGGGGTTATGGGGAGGGGGGGGGGGGCAAGTCGAAAAGACACTATCGTCGAAGGTGATCCTCTGCGTTTAGTTAAATTTTGTTATTTGGTTTACCTCGGATTCTAAGGCTTACGAGGGGGTCGCTCCATCCGGCCGAGGGCAGGTGATTGTGTCCTCGCTCGCGGGGGGCCCCGTCGGGCTCTTGTAAAATAATTATATAATACAGCGCGATGCGCGACGCTAAACACAAAACACGTTTATTAATTAATAAAGATACAAGTTTTTAGAAAGTTCTCATGATTCTTCATTTTATCCACGTTGTCTTATCCTTGTGCGAATTAATTTTCCTCTTTTTTTTCCCCACAGCCAATTAAATCAACCAACAATTATTATTTTTATAAAAGAAAAAAAAAAAAGTACAAGTTTGATTTTATTAGAGTTGTAGTGGATAAACAAGTTGCCACTTACTCCGAGGCTGCGGAGAATAAAATTTAGTTCGACCAACAAGATTAGAGAGGATGATTCAACATATTTACATACGTACGTGGCATTGAAAAAACCAATTTGAAATTCAATGTGAAGGAGAAGCGACGAGTGCCGAGTCGAGTAATAATTACCTATACTCGCACGTACTGTATACAGGGAAAAAAAAAGAGGCCATCCAAATCTTTGGATCATAACGAAGCAGCAGTTTAGCTCCGGGAGAGCAGTCTCGAATGAAACTACCTAAACA